ATGTTCATAATTTAATCTTAGAAAAAATTTCTTTTTTTAAAAAATAATATAAAAATTTGATTGATTTAATTTTAAATTAATTAAAATCTAAAATAATTATCAAATATTAAAAAATTTTAAACCAAAATATATATATTTCACCGTTAGTCATTTAAATCGAATAATATAATGAATGATACTTAATTTATTTTTTTATATAATTGTTTTATTTTTTTAGATTACAGGTTATTTTTTTAAATAATTGAGACATGATTTTCTACTATAAAACATAATTGGAAATTTATTTTCTCAAATAAAAAATGAAAAAGCTTCTTAAAAAAAAAACTGAAAAGCAAATGATTTTTTGGATAAAGAATAGTTAGTATAAACAAAGAAGAATTTAATGGGCAAGAAAGTAATTGCAATTGTCAAAAGATAAAGGGTGAGTGTGGTTGCCGCGTAAATATTCGAAATTGCCATTGACTAACTGACAATATCCCCCCTTATATGTAAATGCTGGCAAAGACCAATTTTTTCTTACAATTATTCTTACTTTTTTTCTTCTATCTTCCCATCCAAGAAAAAAGCGCTCTTCTTTCCACTTCGCCAGAGGTCTTTGGATCAGATTGCTGATCGTCAACCATGAAGAAATCAGGGCTCTTCGCTGCCTCTGTAGCTGTAGCCTCTGCCATTGCCATCTCTGCTTCTTCTTCCTCCAATTTTACTTGTAACTCCAATTTTCAGTTTTCTGGCGAGGTAAAATGTTTTAACTTAATTCTGGGTCCTTTCTTTTTACTCTTTGCTTTGGATGAAAACTGGGTTTCTCTTCTCTTTTTTTTTTTTTTTAAATATATTTTCCTCCTTGAGTTTTGCCCTGTTTGGTTGCCAAGAAAATAATGACCAAGAATTAATGATTTCAATTTCAATATATATTCCTTTATTTTGGATTCTTTCCTGGAATAGTTTCAATTTGAACTTTTGATGTTTCTGGTTTTCTAGTTTCTCCTTGTGTATGAATTTCTCAAATACTTTTTTATGATTACTATGGTATCAATCTCTGTTTTTACCTTTCCTTTTTTTTTTTTTTTTCTGTTAATTAGTTCTTAGAAAAAATAATTAATGTTTTATTTTTCTAGTAATTTTTTATTTTTTCAATTTAAAGATGATGATTGAATTTGTTTAATTTTGCAGGACAAGACAGAACATGAAAATTCTGCAATCAAGAAATCAGTTTCAACTGAGAAATTTGCACCGAGGTTTGATGGCTTAAGGTTCATTGAGACTTTGATCACTGGTCATAGATAAAAGCCTGGCTGCCACAAGCTTCAATTTTTACCTGATGAAGACATGCTTATTATTTTTGACCTTTTGGGCCATTGGTAGATTCTTAAGATGAGAAAAAGATGAACTGTAATGTTTCAGGGTTTGCACTAAGAAAAAAAGGGTGGTGTCCAAGCTTGTAAAGGGCAGTTCTGGTGGCAAGAGTGTCATGATATTGATGGGATATCAGGAATGGGGTTCCAAAGTAAAAATTCCCAATAAACTGTTGTTACCAGCATTCTCGTTTAGCCATTTCAAGCTTGACAAAGCTTGGTGAGTTCTGCTGTTGCATTCCTTTTTAGGTGATATTGTTGAATTGCACCTTTTTGTTAAAACCTTTTTCCAGGTACAACTAGGTTTTTGATGTTCAAAAGGATCTCCAAATGATGAAACATAATTGTAAGCCAATTTTTTAAGCTATTCCTACCCCAAACTGTTTGGTTGAATCTACATTGATCTTTGAGTAGAGATGAAAAAAAAAAAAACTGAATTAATATGAAAAAAAAATTTAATTTGTTTGACTTTAAATTCAATCGATTTGATTCGACAAAAATTAATAATCTAAACCCATTTAATTTAAAATTAAATTGATCCGAATTCAAATAAATTTTTAACTTAAATTACTTGCAATACTTCTTAAAATGATTTAAAATTAAATTAAGTATAATTTTATTTTTAAAATATTAATATGACTAAAAGTAATAAATATAATATAAACTATTAATTTATTAAAATTTAATAACTTCGAATTATCTTTTCAATATCTTTTCTTTATTAATATTTTTCTTAATTATGTTTAAAAAATTAAAGTGCCTTCCTTATTTTTTACTACAATAATATAATAAATAAAATAATTAAATAATAACTAAAAGAAAAATATAAAATTTAACCCTAATTCTATTACATCAAAATGTTACAAAAGATATATTAACACAATTAAATCGATATATAATTAATCCATGAAATATTAACAATAAATATTAAATATCAAGTAATAAAATATTATTAATAATTTTTTATCATAAACAAAATTAATTTTATATTTAATATGATATAATTTCGTATTATTTAATAAATGACTATTAATTCATTTAATCTAAATTGCTGAATTGCTCACTTTCAAAAGCACCGCTGAATTGCTGTGCTGTTATAGAATGATATGTACTTTTGGTTCAGAGTTTACATCCACATTATGAAACTATTTCATTCACCATGATCCACTTGATTTGAACTTCTCAGCATGTCAAAACCTTGCACGGAATTGAAATTGGACCTGATCCAATTTCCAAGTTAAGAGAAATACTTGAATAATGTTTAACTGTGGCTTTTGCTGTTAGTATCCTTTTTAAATCCAATGAATTGTCCATCTCTCATCCTCACCCCCTTCCTTTCCCCCTGTTTCATTCTACACTTTGAAAGGTTGATAGTTTGAGGGCTACTCTTTGGTGCATTTACCCTGAAGCCAAAATGGAATCCCATGTCTTTATCACTGCAGGGATACAGATACTGTAGATTTGCATCATGGGTGAAGATCATACTGGTAAAGCTTCGAGAACGACTGGTACATATTGTCCTTGATTCCTTGCTATCAGCATGAATCACTTAATGGTAGCAAGGAACTAAGGGGAGCAAGTTGATAATAAAACATCAACTTACACCTAATGATAAATAAGGCAATTGCACCTTAATTGCTAGTTAACAGTCGGGTTGTCACAGATTGCATATTTTTTATGCTGAAATCACGCGAACCGTGCGACATTAAGACTACTCATGGTTGAGGTCAGCTTTTCATTTGTCCACTTCCATTATGAACAACTTATAATAGTACTCAGCGTCACACATGAGAGCCTTTCATGGCTCGATCCCAAAGGGTCAGCTCGCAAGCATCCGAAACTCTTCGAGGGAGGATACCCAATCTCATTAACTAACCAGCAGCTAGTTACTTGGAGTCCTTGAGCACCCATCCGATGTTAGCCAAGCACCAAGGCCCCGAGCATCAAGCCATCAAAGACTTGTATGGGGCGTGTAGCCCCAGTTGTCATTATGATATCTCATTCTCCGCGTGCATATTTCTCCACTGCAATGTGTGGAACGCTGAAGCACTCCTTTAGTGCAGCCCGCAACCAGCCAGAAGCCGTACTAGATTCGACGCACCATCCACAACGGTCTCATATTGGGGTAAGGCCTTTAACCTTCTGTTAGGCCGCCTGCACGCATGATGGACACCCAATATCATACCTACTTTTCATCGGGTTATTCGAGTGTGCTGCTCCAGCTTGAGCACATTCCTGCACATGCTTTCGAGAAGCCACCAGGGTCTAGCAGTTGGCCTGCCTACTAGTCCACTCATTCCTCAATCTCGTTGGTGCTATCACCAACTTATGATCCTTTATTTCCTGTTAGCCAATTCATGGAGGTGAAAACAAAGGGCATAGCGAATGCTATGATGCAACCTCATGGCCTGACATAAAGGAGCAACATGAGGCTCACCAACCTTAATTGTCCCTGAGTTTATCATGTCTAGAAGAGATATTGTACCACACTTATAACCCTACGATTTCTGTCCACCTAGACACCACATGTGCCTAAAAGTAGCTTAGTTCAAATTAGCAAAACCCCGTCTGTCAACCAGCCAAGACAGTGATAGAGAGCTGACACTGGGCGTTCCATATAAAAAGTGTAAGAGCTTTTAGGCTTTTGTCACCAAGAATCATAATAATGTCTGAAATGCGGACACTTTTCTTCCCAAACACTTAAAAGGCCAACTCAAGCTAACTCAAGGCACCATGAACTTCCTCTTGGTTCCATGTTGCTAGCATCTAACTCATAGTTCCACCAACCCACTTGAAGGTGCCCGTGACAAGGCTCATTCGGTATTGGCCCACCAGGCTGTCAAGCCCCAAAGTGACTACACGTCCGTCTTGCACTAGGGCTCATATTGCCTGACCACTGCTTCTGGATCACCATCGTATTCACAAAGTCTTGTCCGCTGCTTCACATCGGGGCAGTCATGGTAGAACCAAGACACACAAAAGCCTGACCATGACGTGTGTGGTGTACTGAATAGTTAACTCTGGTGATCAAGATTCAATCCCTCTCAAAGAAAAAAAAAACAACTATTACACCATACTCCTGGTAAAGGCATCTCATAATTGACATTAACAAATCTCCTCTAGAAAGGAAGTTTTAAATCTAAACAATCAAACCAGCTAGAAAAAAGAAACTTAAAAAAGGGTTTTTGGCTTAACGTCAAAAGAAAGAATCTCCAGTTCTCCAATATTTTATCCATGCCACTTCAATCCATCTATTGAACCAAGTTCTCCAAAGACACACCACAAACATCTCAAACCTTCACAGGCAAACATCACATTTGGAAATATCTCAAACGTTATTTCTGACTAAGCAATTATGATGTCAGCCAACATCCAAGAATGATTCAAGACTCTCGTCTGAATTTCAAGCATGTACACAGGCAAAAGTTAACAGTCTTTTCACTCAAGATAGGAATTTAATTTACGTACAAATAAACAGATTATATAGAATCATACTCTTATAATTAAACAATGCAGACCAGCGCTTACAAAATAGTAGAAAACATCACCTGAATGCAGACCTTTGGAAGAATTATATACTCAGACAAGAAGAAAATGGATTAACAATGAATAAAGTCAGAGAGGTTAATTATCCACACTTTTATCCTTCAGATCAGAACAACTGAAATAACAACACTAGGAATCCTGATGTGAGTATCAGCAATGAAGGCTTAGTGATCGTCAAACCACTTGCGGTTTGTTCAGGACATTCAAGGCCTTCTTTCCCCTCACGGCACATATTGGCGAATAGGCCAGGCGGGTATTTGCCATACAAGTTTATGTAGCTGAACATGGTTGAAGCACAATCAGTGGTGAGGTCATTTAGTTTATCCGCGAAAGGGCAAGCAAATTCCTTGAGAGCATCACAACAACCTTTGGTTGGGTACAGGGGTCCTTTGCACTTGCTTGTGAGGATTGTGTAGTTCTTGTGCTCAAAGTCTTCAGAGCAAGCTGCATGGTCATGACATTTGACATATCATATCAGTTTGGAAGTAAAATGGCCATGATATAGGGGAAAAAATGAAAGTAAAATGATCATATGAAGATCTTCAAATCAAAAGCCTCACTGCTATATCAAGTTTATAATGAAGAAAAAGAAAGGGGATAAAAGCAACTAAGACAATGCAAGACATTTAAGCTCATTAATAATTTGATGAATATCGAAAACAAATACAATTCCACACAGGAAAATTTTCTGTTTTTTATCCTTCAGAAAGGGAACATACCCTTTTTGGCCTGAAGGAGGTTGCGTCCAGTAGTTCCATGAGATTCAAAGGCACCATCTGCATGCAAATTAAACAATTACTAAATGTCATGTTGAATCAAAATATGTATAACTTTTCTTATGAAACATTGTTGATGTGCTTTAAGAATTCAAGGGAATAAATAAATAAATAAATAAATATATATATATATATATACACACACACACAAACACACACATATGTAACAATGGACAAAGAAATGGGAGAATTACTTGAAATGTGGGTGAAAGAAGAGGCAAATCCAGCTAGAAGGAAAAACAAAATAAGATACATAGAGCTTTGTTTTAAACCCATTTCTTTCTTCTGTTTTTGGGAGACCTATAATATGATCTCCTCCTGCTCCTCACAAGGGCAACTCTCCCTCTCTTCTTTTCCTTTGGTCTCTTTGGGTTTTTTTTTTTTTGACAAACAGAGAGAGAGAGAAGAGAAGAGGGGAGGAAAAGTTACAAAAATGTTGGGAGAGTATTTATGGCATTCGGAAACAAAACAATGCCACTCAGTCGAATGTTAATGTTATAACTTAAACGTAAGCTGAAGCTTAATTATCGGTTCCTCTTTTAAACTTCTTAAATTTAATCGTACTAATTTTAAATTCATACCATACACAAAAGTATATTTATATATTAATAAATTTATATATAATATAAGTTTTCCTTTTAAATTATAAGATAAAGTTTATGGGTATGAACAACTTAAAAATTTATATATTTAGAATTACGTAATGTGAAACATATTAAAATATAATATAATATAATATTTATTTTATAACATAATATAAACCTTAAGCACTTTAAAATATAAAATGAAATTAAAATAAAAATACCATACATTCAATACCATATACAAAAAAAAAAATTAATATATATATGTAGGGATAGATCCTAAAACAAAAAATTATGTCATAAATATACAAATATTAAGAAAAAGATTAAATTTCATAATAATTTTGTTATTTGAGATTTTTTTTGTTTTCTAAATGAAGAATATGAGAAAGCCAATCCTAACTCATATCCTAGAAACAATGTGAATAGTTTTTCTAATCAAGCATGACTAAATATTATTATTATTATTAGTTGAACTTGGAAGAGTGAAAAAAAAATAATAAATAAAATTAATTAAGAGATATAAGCTATTAAAAATAAATGTTATTAATTTAAACATAATTAAATTAAATTAAGAATTAAAATTAATTGAGAGATTCAATTTATTAAAAGTAATATAATTAATTTGATTTATTATTTCTTTTAGTTGAAACCAGGTGAACAAAAAATAATAAATAAAATTAATTAAGAGATATAAGCTATTAAAATAAATTAATTAATTTAAGCATGATTAACATTAAATTAAAAATTAAAATTAATTAAGAGATTTAATCTATTAAAAGCAACTTTAATCAATTTGGTCACAATCAAATTAATTAAGAATAAAAATTGATTGAAAGAGAAATTTAAGCTATTAAATATAGATGAAATTAATTTGATCAAAATCAAATTAAATTAACTCATTAAGTAATGGGTACAAGATAATTATTTTAACTTATCCACATTTAAAAAAAAAAGAAAATACTATCCAAAAAACGTTAAAAACTTTAACTTTTATATATTTATATAAGATTAAAAATAAATGTAATTAATTTAATTAAAGTTAAATTAAATTAAATTAAAAATTAAAATTAACTGAAAAATATTTAATCTATTAAAGTAAATACAATTAATTTGGTTAAAATCAAATCAATTAATAACTAAATTAATTAAGAGATAAATTTAAGCTATTAAATATAAATACAATTAATTGGTCAAAATCAAATCAAATTAAATCAAATTGAAGAAATTAAATAATGGATACATGACAATTATTTAAGGTTATCCACATCTAAAACCTTAAACTATCCACATGACAGTTATCTTTTTTTGTCAAAAAATGTCTTTTATATATTTATATAAGATATATAAAAATCCTTGTCCTAGAAAGGCGGCCAAAGGTATAATTGAATTATGGTCAGCTCGAAAACTATCAAATATTTCCCGGCGGAGAAGGAAAAGGGCCACCTAAATGAGATAATGCAGCAATTCTTTTGACAGTCCAATACATACTGCAGACCCAACCAATGTTGCACTATTATGTGAAGTTTCTTGAAGCATGAACCAGAAGAAAGCAACTACTACATTCCAAATTACCAAGAACAAAAACATTCATGACTTTTACCCCTTCTGCTCCGCATATAGAATGTTTCTTTTTGGTCGATTTCCTTCTTCTTTGGGTTTCAACAGGACAGACTGATATCTTATTGGTGACAAAAATGCAGCAAATACAGCAGGGTAGCAGTCAAATATGGCTCAGCTTGTTACTTGATGGTTGACCATATCAGTTTGTACTTATCATTGCAATTGAATCTAAACATAGAAAACCTGTAAAAGTGAAGAAACGATGTTAATGTTCAGAAAATGGTTATTTGAAGAGAGCACTTGACCTTAATTAAAAAGGATAGGGGATAGGAACTGGAGCCATAAGTATCAGTTATAGTTAACCTTGTTTGTCCAGCACATTAACGCTTGGAGTCCAGTCAAATAATGGAAAAATTAGCAGTAATCAACATAACAAATTCATACCTGAATAAATGGAGTAACCTTGCTTCTGCTCACTAGGACCTATATAATTAAATCAGTTAGCTTTGTTAACAAATGTTCCTGGAATGTCTTACTTTACGGGTGATGGACCTTCCCATCCGAAGGCGTCGAGCTGTCAGTGCTTCTAGCAGAACAATTAAAGCATCCTCCACTGCCTCAGCCTGTTTATCCAATCCATAGGAGCTATACTCTGGAAGAAGCTGCAGCTCAGCAAGAACACCAATGGCTGCTGCTGCTGTACAAGTATGGTCCCATGATGGTTGAGGTCTGCCCTCCAAAAAACATAGATGGTTACTATATACTTCAACTGAAGCAAAGAAGTTAAGAATCAAAATAAGAAGCAGATGCCTATGAAATTCAACAAACCTATGGAAAGCAACTGGTTTACACCTTACCGAAGTTTATGCATCGCAGATGCACCTACAGCAAGAGATATACAAGGCAGGTCTTCCTCTCCCCAGACAAACTTTGCTTGCTCCTACAGATAACATATCCATCAAATTCTCAAATAGCAGTCCAAGAATTTTAAAATATAGGTTCAAGTCAAATTTAAAAAGAAATAGGTTCAGGTCATTATTAGATAAAGGCAGAACCATGTCTTATTTTGATTTTGAAACAGGCACCATAGAAGCAAAGGCAATGGTATCACATTTCACAGAACTTCCAGCATCATGTATGAAAAGTTTCGTACTATTATAGGTCCATCATGAAGGCTAAATTTCTGTGGCATCTAAAGAGTACAGATAGAGTCATAGTTGACATTTATTGTTAATAAATAATGATATTATAACCCATAACCCAAAACACAATTTATTGACAAAAGCAAAGGTAAAATGAAATACTTAATCAAATACCTTTAGGCGCCTGAACATTGCTGCAGAATTGCTCCATGTACCATCAATTAGAACAAAATTCAGAGGTCTATCTCTATTTGTCTGTGAAATGCAACCAACATGAAAATTTACCCCCCCAAAAAAAAAGAAAATCTAGTTGAAATAACTTGAAAAAAGAGGTAACAGATTACAAGTAAACATATCCAATTTTACCTGAGATGTGTTAATGCAAGAGCTTTGTGCACTTGGCTACAATTCTTTTTCTAATTTAAGATGTTTCAATCATTTGTAAGATACAATCCCCCATAAGGTTTAAATATTACTCTTGCTGTAGTTATTTACCAAACAATACCACATGGCTTCCCCCAACACTTTACCACATATGCAGTGACTTCATGGGGAAAAGTTACTTCGACAACAAAAATTGACAGGGAAAAATTCAAAAAATGAACCAAACACAAATGCTGCAACTAAAATTGTCTTTGAAAATAGTATTTATATAACAATTCAATTGAAATTTAAAACATTTATAACATCTAAAATAACATATCACCAAGAAGTAGTTCCATGCAAATTTTTTGTAACATGTGGAGAAATACGACCTTTAGGACATTAATGAAGTAATCTCCACTCTTTCAAAATCACACATTACTTCTCAAATATCATAAAAGTAAAATAAAAATTGTATAAAGAGTGATTTAGTATGTATTATCATGTTAAGAGAACAGTACCAATGAATGTGTACATTCCAGATCTGCAGAAGATTGACTGCTAAAGGCATCCTGAGCCGTTTTTGGTGCTATATTCTGGTTTGGATAAAGGCAGCAAACCCTGGCTTTTCCTGAAATTGCCAAGAATATGATAAAACTCACTAGTATGACCTTTCTTTAGTACTGAAATGGTAAATAAAATAAACCTTAGAAGGTAGAGCATCTGCAAGAGGAGATAACAGCTCACATGTAATAATGGAGCAAATGTTAATAATAATTTTTTATCAGATAGTTTGGTAATTCTCCTTGATTCATAATCACAAATGAACAATAGAAAAAGGCAAACCCCAAAATATATGTTACCCTCAGTCAAAAAGTTCGGATGATTGCTTTTATCTTAAATGCAATAAAAGATCATTACATCACAAAGAAAAGATTTTGGATATGCAAGTAGTTATAGAAAAAAAACACAAAGGATTATCAGTATATTATACTTCTAATAGACAAAAAGTAATTCCACCTACTCTGAAATGAGCTTTAGAACTCAACCACATGGTTCTGTAAATAATGTAACCATTAATACAGCAAAATTTCCCCTTTTTAGAAAATAAAATGAAAAGCTAAAAGAAACCTGCATCCTTAAATGCATTCCACATGATTTCCTCATCTTCAGAAATTCCATAAAGACATAAAATTGCAGCTTGAACACCAAAGACTTGCCATAGCAACTTCCAGTATTATTCTGCCGTAGAAAATCCTGAAAAAGGAAGATTACACATTTGATGACATATACGAATATGTATCAGCAGCCTATATATCAGATGGAAAAAGAAAATTCTAACCTTTGGATGCATGTACAACCAAAACCTTATGCCATTCCATAGTGAGCAAGGCTCGACTTTTGAACACATACAATCTTCCATAGGAAGCCAACACTGAAAATGGATATAATTCATTAACAAATTATGAAAAAGACAAGGAAATTACTTCTAAAGGTTGTTCTTCTTTGCAACATATCAATAATAGCTCCGAAAAACACCACTTACCTTCTGGCAGAGGTAGCCCCGACTTCCAAGCAACCGGCATGCTATTTGTCGAGCAGAAAAGAACTGGAACTTTTTGTC